CCTCGCTGGGCGGCGGTGGCTCGGGGGGCCCTTTGCTAGCGGAAAGGAACCGTCGGACTCTGGCCTTCCGAGGAGGTGGCGGCGGGGGTCTCGGCAACAATAGCAGTAGCCGCGGCCGCCCGGAGACCTCGGCGTGGCCCCTGAGGCATTTCAATGGGCGAGGGCCGGCGGCTGTGGATCTGGAGCTTGACGCGCTGGAGGGGAAGGAGTTGATGCAGGACGGCGCGTCCCTGAGCGACAGCACCGAGGACGAGGAGGAGGGGGCGAGCCTGGGCGACGGCAGTGGGGCGGAAGGCGGCAGCTGCAGCAGCAGCAGGCGGTCGGGCGGCGATGGTGGGGATGAAGCGGAGGGCAGCGGTGTGGGAGCTGGCGAAGGAGAGACTGTCCAGCACTTCCCGCTCGCGCGGCCCAAGTCCCTAATGCAGAAGCTACAGTGCTCTTTCCAGACCTCCTGGCTCAAGGATTTTCCCTGGCTGCGATATTCAAAGGATACTGGCCTTATGTTTTGCGGCTGGTGCCAAAAGACCCCTGATGATGGGGGAAGCGTGGATCTTCCGCAAGTGGGGCACGATGAGCTTTCTCGAGGGACCCGTAACTACAAGAAAACCCTGCTTCTGAGGCACCACGTCTCCACCGAGCACAAACTCCACGAAGCCAACGCCCAGGTACAGTATATCCTGCTCCTGCTTTTTGAGGTCTTTTGGGGAAAGGCTTATCAACTTAAATAAGAAACCATTTTCCTGGGCGAAGGCATCGTTCCGATTGACAGAGGTGCTTAAGCGTCGGGGTTTAGAAAGCCTGGGAACAAAGTTTTGAAAAGTTGTCTGTGTGTGGGGGGGGAGGGGGGAAGGGGGATGAAATGAGAATTTTCTAATCTTAGCAATGAATTTGTTGTATTTTTTGAATGACTCAGACTGCTTATCAGATTGAATCAGTAGGAAAGTTTAACAAAATGTGATTGAAGGTTTTAACCTACAAGCTTAACTTTGGGCTAAAAAATTATTAGCTGTGATTTTAGAAGCCGCCTTAGGTTCCTAGATATTTGGTGTGTTTAGAGGAAGTCAAATCTGGCAACTCTTTGCGAAGAGTGGATTAAAAAGTTCCCTTAAGTTTTAGACGCTACGTCTGTGAGGAGAACATCCACCCGAAAAAAATTCTTATATCAGGTCAAGATAATGTGAAATCTGAGAGTTGTATGTAAATATAGAGGAAGTTATTTGAATAACCCTCCTTTCTCCTGTGAATCATTTTACTAAATTCATCTCTATTGAACTTGTTGAACCTTCTTTACCAAGCTTGCTTTTGTCAAATTATTGTTTTTATTCACTTCATTCATATTTCTGCTCCACGATATTTCTATATTAATTTTTTAAAACTTTGTCTTGTAAACACAGTTTACATGAAGTATTTTAAACTTAGCATTGGAAGTGTTTTACGTGAAGATATCGAGCATTAGATTGGGACTGTTAGGGAATTTATTTACCAAACTGAAAAATCACAAGTCCTTGGTTACAAAGTTGTGTGGGTTTTTAGTCCTTATTTTAACATTTTTTTGTCAAAAGTTAGTAAGTTAGTAACCTAACCATTTTGGTAGGCCTTTTCAAGACTGTTTATCAGTCTTCCTTTTTATGTCTTTAATTTTAGACAGCTTTGTAGCTGGGGGATGAAATCCATTCTTTTTGTACTGATAGCCAGTCATTGATTTTAGAAAGTTAATGCTCAGATAGTAGTTCTACTCAGGTATTAATCCCTTGCTATGGTGTTTATGGGAGCAATCCTGCCATTCAGTACACTTATATTAGAGTTACACCAGTAACCCCACAGACATAGCCCCAAAATTTCTTGGAAATTAGGGATGAAATTTTTTTAAATTTATTTTTTTGGTGGAGTAGGGCACAAATTTTAGTTGCCTCAGCCCTAGAAGGAAGGTGGGTTTTTAGAGAAATAAAACCCAGAAAGTTTAAGTAAAGTTCTGGGTGACAACTGACACTAGAGCCTATTAGGAATGTTGTAGTGGGAAAATAATGAATTTGGAGTAAATCTGAGTTCAGATCCCAGCTTTGTGCTGTTTCTAGCTTTGTGAACTTGGGCATTTGAGTGAGCTAGAACATTTTCTTGTCTTTTGTACCAAAAACACATTAACTTTAGTCCACCAAGTATTTTGGTTCCTTTTCACAAAAAGAGTGTTCTAAGGCATTCAAGGGTTAATGTATTTCTAAAGTTATTTACAAGATTATAGAGGCCCATAACTTGTGAAAATGAAAGCTTAATTTTCTCAATTATGGTAGCTTGGTATTTAGAAAAAATTTAAAAGACAATTGGAATGAATTTTCTATTCTTATCAGCAGTCTCTCCCTGTAGGCAAATCTGAATGGGAATACAAATTATAATTAGCTGCTTAGTGAACCTGAAGTCAGAGGATGGAGGAATTAGTTGGGTACCCTTATGGTAGACTTTGTATGGGTGTATCTCTTAGTATGGGTGGATCACAGAATTCATTTATAGTTAAAACATTTTCCAAACTTGACTTCTGAACTATTCCTTTTCTGTTCCCCTGTGGAAATTGCCCTTTGATATAATCTATAGGCTATCTACTTTTAGAAAGTTTTTTTTTCTATTAAATTTAAAGTCCTGTTTGTCTTAAAGATATACATTGGTTCCTTTGATTGGATTTTGGATGTTTCCACTTTGATCTCCCTCATTTCTCTAAATTCTAACCTAGTTTAGGGGATATCTTGCTATCCCAAGTACTGTGGTATTGTTGCCCTCCAGGCTTTGATTACCTATAGGAGGCAGTATAACACAGTCTGTGAAAGGATTTTTTTTTTTTTTTGCCCAAGGTCAAGACCTTGGGTCCTGATCCTCATTTTCTTAACAGGAAAATTAATTAACTTGTTTCTTTATGTATACAAAGTATATTTGGCAACATATAACTTCTTAGTAAATAAGAATGATTATTTATTGTCATGATTACTTATATTTAATACAGGCAAACATCTAATACAAGATTTGTTTAAGAATTTTAAATTTGGGCAATGCTAGAGATTGAATCTGGACCTTACACATGCTAAGCAAGTGCCCTACCATTAAGGTACACCTCCAACCCTAAGAACTTTTTAGTGGCCTGTTACATCATAAATTAGTGTCATCAGTTTTTTTCAGCTTTGAAGTCTTTTTTATGGATTCACTCTTGATTCTAGAGAACAAACCATTTTCCATTTTTATACCCCCAGACTTAGCCATTTTGAGCCTGCTCCTCATCATGTAATTTTTCTTGGCTTCCCAAAGAATATCTTGCATTTGCTTTATATTGTTTTAACATTAAATTGAGAATTTTGGAATTCGGGCAAGAATTTAGAGGCTTAAAGTAGTTCACTCCCTTTATTTTTTCCATCATTGTTGTTTTGGTGGGTGCTGAAGATCGAACTCAAGGCCTTGTGCATACTAGACAAGCACTCTACCACTGAGATATACCCCCAACCCCTTTTCTTTTAAAAAGGTCTGGTTTTTTGAGAGGTGTTTGAGTATCTTAGTAATTATCACGAAGGGTTATTTTTATTTCTCATGCTTTCTATAAACAAGAAAAGTCGCTTGTTAATTTTTTTGGTGGTGACCAAAAATATTTGAACATAACCTTTAAAAAGTTTGGTATTTTGTATATGATATTGCATGTGCATATGTGACTTGGGACGTTGAGGCAAAAAAAAAAAAATCCAAGTCCAAGGCCAGGCTCAGCAATTTAGTGAGGCCCCATCTCAAAATAAAAATTTTTTTAAAGGGTTAGAGATAACATGGCTCAGTGGTCCATTGCTTCCCTACATTTGAGAGGCACTTAATGAGAGGCCCTGAGTTCAATTCCAGTGCAGGGGGGGAAGGGCTGGGAGAAAAATTTTGACCTTTTTTTTTTTTCTTTTTTTTTTTAAATGGGGATCTCCTGGTAATTATTCAGATTGGCCTCAAACTCCTGATCTGAAACCATTCTCCAGTCTTCCAAATAGCTGGAACTGTAGGCATGATGACTATTTATTTGTATTCTTTAAATTAGACTACTCTTTAAATTAGACTACTGCTGGAGAGTCTTTTTAAACATGCTTTCTGAATTTGTATTCTGAACCTTCTATGTTAGATCTATGTTAGAGGTGTTCTGTATTTGGATATGAGGAAAATGTATTGTTGGATTTTGTGGGGTGGTAGTGGTAAGGACTTACAGATTCTTTTTCTTGTAGTGGGGATTTTAACCACTACCATGCTAGGCATGCCCTAAGCTCTATATCCCCAGCCTTTGTTTTATTTGAGATAGGATCTTGCTAAATTGCCCAGATCAGTCTCAACCTTGTGATCCTCCTGCCTCAGTCTCTCAAGTAGGTTGGATTATAGGCCTTTGCTTCTATGCCCAGCTGGGATCTACAGTTTTGAGTAACTGGACTATCTTTTCATAGTCAGAGTCAATGATTAGCTCATTCATGATTTGACCATTTGGCCTAGAGGACTCTAAAATTGCTTTAATTACAGTTTTGACTTCTGTGTCTTGGTTCAAACCATTTTTATTTTTTGATACTGGGGATTTAACCCAGGATCACATTACCACTGAGCTACATCCCCAGCCCTTTTTACTTTTTATTTTGAGGCCCAGTCTTGGTAAGGTACATAGGTTAGCCTCAAGTTTATGATCCTCCTGCCTTAGCCTCCTGGGGCATCCACTTTCTCACCAGCTCAAACCACTTTCTGCCCAGTTGTGAAATTTTCATTTCCTAAATCATTTCTTCTGTCAACCCTTTCCGGTTTAGTAAGCCTACAACATGCACCCAAATAATTACTGTAACATCCAGAAATAGTGAATTCAAGATCAGTGATCTGATTGAGATTTTGATGCCAGGTGGAATAAATAAAGAAGATAAGTCATATCTACCAGCCTTCTTTATTTTGGGCTAAAATTAGGCCTTCAAGGTTGTAGTAACTGTTTAGGAAGAAAGTCTGAAAGACCTTTGAAAAGGAGAAATAATATATTTAAGGATGAGCCTGTGGTTTAATAAATTACCATTGTATAATGATTGTAATTCATTTATTCATTATGTAAGTAAAAATCCTTGTTTTTCAAATGTTTGGTAATATACCTTATTGTATATCTAGGATTGGCATCTTCTTAAATTTATCTATATTAGGTAAAAGCAAAGCACTGAAGATAAAAAAAACTTATAAGATTTTCTCTGCCCTCAAGGAACTTGTAATCTAGTAACAACAGACTGACATGATGATAAAAATAAGATACTGTCATGTTCAGGGTACAGTGAAGACACTAAAGGGAATCAGGCAATCAGTTTTACATGCAGTGGGTTGGAAAAAAAGCTCACAGAATTGGTTCTTGAACCGAACTATGTTAAATAAATAGGCATTGACAAGGAGGAAAGGGCATTCTGGCATTGCAGTTTGAAGCAGCATGAGGAAAGTGAATAATGGTGTCTTCATGTATCTGAGAAAAGGGATAGTTTGGTTAGTGAGCAGGATGAAAAATTAAGTGTGAATAGGTCATGAGGATCTCTTTATGTTTTAAAGATTGCATTTTCTGTTAACAAATGGGCAACAATAGCAGTTTTAAGTAGGAGAAAAGTATGATCAAATGTGTATGTTTTTGGTTAGTGGCACCTGTGTTTTGTGCTGTGGGTTG